ACAGTGCAAGCCCAGGTGCACACACAGAGAGAGTCTCCAAGAACACACACACACAATGGAGTAGCAATAATAATTATTATAGGATAAACACAGAGAGCAAACAACACACAAAACACACATTAACATTAAGAAACAAAAAAAGAAGAATAGCCCAACAGGTGGAAGATTAGTTAGACTGTAGGGATGTATGCAAAAAAAGAAGAAAGAAAACAAAGGATGACCTGAGTCACACCACACCACCATTACACAATCAGCACACAAGAATACAGGCCAGTGTAACCACAATCAGTAATGGTACACGCACCCACACAGAACTGCTGATACTGCTGCTGCTGTCTGCATCACCCTTCTTGTTGCTTATGAGTTCAGGAGGAAGTGTTGTTGTTGTTGTGGCGGTGGTGGTGGTGGTGGCTGCACTTCCCGCATTGCCTTCTTGGGTATTTGTTGATTCACTGGGTGTAATGCCACTCCCAGCCGTAGTGGCTTCAGAACCACTGGTATTTACTGTGTCCGAAGTGACAGAAGAAGAATGAGAAGGTTGTTTTCCCGCAGTTCCCTGGTTATCTGTGGTACTGTTGCTCCCCCGTCCAGTTGTACCTTCAGCTTCAGGTGCTGGAGCAGCAACATCAACTTCACCTTTATCACCATTCTTACCTTGACGTTCTTCCTTCGAAATACTGGTTGAGGCATCATCAACAATAGCAGGAGTATCGGGTTTGTCCTCAACAGGACGTGCCTCCACAGAACCAAGAGGAACGTTAGGTTCAGGTTCTTTCAGTACAGATGGAACAGGCTTTTCTGTCTGTTGAGGCAGAGGACAAGAAACAGAAGAATTAGTAGTGCAAGGGACAACTTGTTCAGGTTCCTGCAGAGGATGTTCAGGAGAATGAGGTGGTTGTTGGGGTTGGCCACCTTGCGGAGTAATACCACCATGAACAGCCTCTCCAGTGATAGAACGAGAAGAAGATTGACCACCAGAGGTACAATTTCTACCATCAGTATCGGAAGAGCAAGACACCCCACCAGCAGCAGGATCACTATTGTCCAGAACATCCTTCTCCCTTTCATCCTCCCTTTTTTCAGCTTCCACATCAACCTCATCACCATCCCCTTCCTCTTCTTCGTCACACTTAGTCGTGAGAAGAAGCGCAGGAATAGCACGATGAACAAGAGAAGGAACACCAACAACAGAAGGTTTAATAAGGGCATCAGAAGCTTTAGGACTATCAGCCCATACTAACCCACAAGCACAACACAGTGCAAGAGTTAATAAACAGAGCAGGTAGCACCTCACCATTACAACCTTTGTCATTGTTGTTGATCACTTCAAAAGACTGATACAAGAAAGAAAAAGGATAAGAGAAAGGGACACACATAGTGAGTGGATGCAGGACACAAAAACTCACAGTGGAAAAGAGAGAGAAGCGGCAACTCCAGAGTAAAGCAAGAAAAAGAAATAGCCCACTTGTATTTATAATATATACCGCTTTACAGAAAAGGAAAAGAGAACACCACACAATACCCAAATAAGAGGAGAGCCAAACACACACACAATACCCCATTACCCTAGTTTATGTACATTAAATTACTGCACACACACACACATCTGTGTGTACTAGCAAGAGATGTATACCGTCAGTGAGCAGAACAGCCCAGTTTTCTGCAAACACACTCAACAGGAAAAGCAAGTAATGGAATTAATAAGAAAAAGAACACACACACACACAAAAGTAAAAGTAAAAAGAAAAGAAATTCGAATTAAAAGAGAATGCTGGTAAACAGATTATTAGTTCATTCATTCACCCATGGGGGATAAATGGATATACGCAATTATGTTAGGATAACCATTATTATTATTTGTCCTCAAATGAGTCCCACCGTTCAGTACACAGTAATGGAGAACAACACAGCCACAATCAGTAGTGGTACACGTACCCAAACGGGGCTGATACTGCTGCTGTCTGCTTTACGCTTCTTGGGTGGTACTTTGGTCTCGCTCTTCGCAGGTGTAGGAGGTTGCAGTATTGTTGGCATTGCGGGTGATGTCACCTTAGTGGGTGTCTTGGGGGTGTTCTTCGGTGATTCAATCTGTGCAGGTGCTTCGGTAGTCTCTGCCTGATGACCATTCTCTTCATGGTGCGTAATCGTAGGAGCTGACACTTCTTCATTAATCTGAGAACCATCATTAGTTATATCAGCAGCAGGTGAAGAATCAACAGCTGTGCGAGGAGGACGAGCACCACCACGATTACCAGCAAAAGTAGGAGCACCAGCAACAATAGGAACAGCATCAGGCACACCAGGGTATCCATTAGCAGGTGGAGTAGTTGGAGCAGTGTGAACAGGAGGACGAAAGGGAACACCAGGAGCTTTTTGAGGTTCGCTTGTACCGAGACCAACACCAACACCTGGCTTCCCATTAAGAATTGGTCGGATACCAACACCAGCATCAGGTTGGGTGTCAAGAGTTAATTTACGAGAACCAGTAAGGTTGGCGTCAACAACAATACGAGGGCCAGGATGAGGTCCAAGAGTCACAGCAGGATTCTTTGCAACCGTGGGAACAAGAGGAGTATCAGGAGCACCAGGAGCCTTTACACCAACACCAGGTTGAAGGTCAACACCAATACTTTGCTTTCCGCCAACACTGCGCAGGACACCAACACCAGCATCAGGATGAGAGCTTAGAGTTACCGTGTCAGAGTCTTTAACACCAGGTACACCGTCTTTGCCACCAATATCGGGAACAACAACATGAGTAGCAGCTGGACTATCATTACGACCAGGGTAACGGATAACACTATGTACACCACCACCAGGAGTACCAGGAACACCAGCAGCACAGGGGACATCGTCAACACCAGAAACACCACCAACAACATCATCACGCTTAAGTTCCTTACCAGCAACACAAGTAGAACTGGGTGCTGTAGAAGGATGAGATCCTTCTACATTAGTAACACCACCAGAAACAAGAGGGGGAACACGGCCCGGGTCAGTACGAGCACCAACACCAATACCAGGATTGAGGTTCAAAATTCCTTTTAGTTTGTTAAAGACATCCGTACTAGGTTTTCCATCAACCCCAGGATGTTGGTCGTAATTTTTAGCGAAACGATCACCAGGAGTACCAGGATTAATATCAGTACCATGCACAACAGGATGAGAGTCGGATATAGCAGCTGACAGGCATCCATAGCTGCAGCACAAGATGAGAACCAGTAAACATAGTACGTGGCGCATCATCTTTCTCATAATCATAATGGTGATAGTGAAGATCGCTTACAAACAACGGACTGGAGAGAAAAATCAAGAGAAGAAAGAAGAAATGCAAATAGAGTAACACAAGCACATAGAAAAACAGAAAGAACCCCAACATCACAAAAAGCAAACTAACTACAACAGTTACAGAAATCAAAAAAAACTATCCATATTCACACGTTTACCACAAAAAGAACACCACTTATTAAACCAACCGCAAAGAAAAAGAAATAATGCAGTAGGTCCCCCAACCATACGAATACAAAATAAATCATGCCTAATCCATCAAACAACAGTTATGGGTATTTTTGTATCATTTATTAATATTATCTATTTCACTGGTGAAATAAAACAATCATCAGAATGCAAAACAAAACCCACACAATAGCCCAGGCACACACACACACACACACAATGGAGTAGCAATAAGAATTATTATAGGATAAACACAGAGAGCACAAAAACACACAAAACACATTAACATTAAGAAACAAAAAAAAGAAGAATATCCCAACAGGTGGAAGATTAGTTAGACTGTAAGGATGTATGCAAAAAAAGAGAAAAGAAAACAAAGGATGATCTGAGTCACACCACCACCCACCACCACTACTCAATCAGCACACAAGAATACAGGCCAGTGTAACCACAATCAGTAGTGGTACACGCACCCACACAGAACTGATGATACTGCTGCTGCTGTCTGCATCACCCTTCTTGTTGTTTGTGAGTTCAGGAGGAAGTGTTGTTGTTGTTGTTGTTGTTGTGGTGGTGGTGGTGGTTGATTGCTCCTCAGTGGGTGTAGTGATAGTGTCAGAGTTATTTGTTGTGTTCGTTGAGTTAATGTTATCGGTTGTACCGTTCTGTAATGGAGGGTCAGAAGGAGAGTCAGTGCCTGTACTTGTCTGAGTTTGTGTAGTACTATTGTCTGCACCGTTGTTACCATGAGTATCATCACCTTGGTGTGAACTGTGCGTACGTTCTGTCACTTGTATCTGTTCTGCGTTATTGGGATTTTGTGAATTACCGTTATTACCTGTACTCGGTTTAGCGCCAGAATGGGATGAGTCTTGGAGATCTTGGTTTTCTTTACTAACCTTCTCCACAGTATCGTTATTACCTCCATATGGTGAAGACGTAGTGTCCTTTCTCTTATCCAGAGGTTGTTCTTGGGGAACTGTATGGGTGCTTGAAGAAAGCAAAGAAGAATCAACCGTTCTTGAAAGTTCACCAACTTGCGGAGATTGACCAAGAGTTGTACCTAACCCTACCTTTTGTAGTTCGTTGCCTTGTCGACTCTGTCCAACTTCCGGTTTTGGCAAAGAGTGTTGTCCACCAATGACTTCATCCCTGTTGCCCACGGTAAGACCGTGAATGAGGCCCGCTCCCTGTTATTCTGGAGATAACATTTGAGCCTCTTTTTCAAGTTGCGTCTTTGGCGTCATAACTGTTTGAGCTTTGTTATCCACCAGCACCTCCTTTTCACGTCCCCGACCATGAGCACCATCTTCCTCAGGGACTTGGTCGGAAAGATCGGCGGCAGGCACTTCTTCAGATTCAGGTTTACCAGCCAACACAAGACTGCAAGAAAAGCACAATAAAAGAACCGAAATACACATCACACAGCGCATCATCATCATTTCTCTTTGTTTTCTTATTATTGTTCTCCTCCTTGTCACTTGAGGTCGCAAGATCTATGCAGCGAGTGTGGAAAAGAGGGAAAAAAAGAGAGAAAGTAAGAGAAAGAGAAGCAGCTACGAGAGCATAGTATAGTAGTAGAAAGGAATAGCCCTTCTACAAGATGATGCAGACCCCAAAACAGTATATATAAAAACAAATCACACAATGCCAAAACCCCAATACCCCAAGTGCATATTCTTGTACAACAGTGTGGGTTCATCAATCACAGGTATAAACGTATTCGTGATAGATATATGTGGTCAGTGAGCAGAAAAACACAGGGTCTGCACAAACTGCCACAAAAAGGAGAATTCAAACAAGCGAGGGAAAAAAAAGAGGACAAGGAAATAGAGGGAGACCAATACAATGAAAACAAACCTCCACATATGCAGCAAAATACTTTATTGGACCGCAGAGGTAGCACATATATATATATATAGTGGAATAATTATTAGTATCTTTAAAACTGTTTCTGTCAATCAATCAACTCCCATCAAAATACCGTTACACATACCAACGCAGCCACAATGAGCGCTGCCGCAGTGTGCATCCAAGCAGCCCTGACAGTCTTATCACCTGACTTTTTAGATTCA